GAATGCAGTTGAGTTCAAAAATCGATCTATATTTCAAAGTCGAAAAACACTGGTAAAATCGATCTGTCAGAGTCATGTTATATATCAATTGATAGCCAGATTTTTTCTCTACATGGCTACTGGATCCAGAATACATAAAATACAAGGTCAGTCGCTACGAAGAAGGAGAAGTCTTAGCGCGCATTATGCGAGCAGTGCTCGGCACTCCACGCCATGGGATGACTACGTCATGACGAGCGATGTTCGGCACTCCACGCTGAAGGGTTAAATCTATAAGGAAGCTTCATAATTTGTATTCTTCACCTAGTACTGTAGGGATGATTAATTACATAAATGCAAGATAAACAAGGAATATTGGAGAAAACTAAAAATATGTCCAAAATGTTAACTGATAAACATCATGAGAGGAGTCTCGATTGCTAGATTTTTTGGCCTTGTCCACTGCCTGCTGTTATAAAATGTGCAACATTTTAAGGACTGCATCTGACCTCTTCTTCAGGTGTAGTGAGCTAATCACAATCACTGGTCCAGTGACCGAGATTAGCTCATTCTAACGAACCCCACAATGTAGGTGCCCCCTCACTACAGACGAGGACAGATCCAGGCATAATAGTACTTCTCCGGCCCAAGATTTGCATACTTTATTCGCCACTCATGCTACAGTGGAATATTTCTCAGTGTCTCTCAGACTGACATTTTCCTATTTTGTTTCTTCTTTACCGCACAGCCCCAAGCGTAATATTATTAACTCAATGAAGCAACAAAGTGATTCTTTCCTGTTACTTGTCTCCTCACCTTCATGCATTTACAGATTACTGTGGGAGAAGATAAATTACATGTGCACATGTGTGTGTGTGTATGTGTGCACATGCACGCACGCACACAGAAAGAGACTGAAATCAACATTACAGATGAAGAAATAAACGTGAATAAACTATAACTAAAACCAAGATAAACACTTTTTTATAAAGTAATTAGCCCATCTGCCCAAGATAAACTAATGTTTTGTAGAAGTCTCTTCCCACTAATGACATAGCTAAATAGTAATTTTAAGCATAAATGTCCCACAATGCCCACTTACATTTTCCTCCGTTTGAGGTACAAAAAACTGTCTCCTATACAAATATCAACCAGGTGTTTTACACATGAATTTTACCATCAAAATCTCGACATCTTCTCTTGGCATGATAGATTCCAGATAGTAGAGTAGTTCCTGAATTGGCACCACTGTCGGCAGTCTTACCACCAGCACTGACTACACTCTGGATGCTCTGAGATGTAGTTGTGAGCCTCATGTCCACATCCCCATGGTTACTGTCTTGTGTAGGAGTGCCTGCTCCTGACAAAGAATCCTTTTTATCCCGCGTCCTCTCTAGAAAAACACACATTTATTGAGGAGGTTATCAATAGTACAATAACTGCCATTATTTTCTATAAGAATTTCAATGGACATTCATTCGATGCATGTGTTCCTTCATAAACTCTCCAATTCACAAGCACAGGTACTCTGTTTTGAGATGAATGGTACCAGCACAAAAGTAGTGACAAGGACTGGATTCTTGTGATTTGCGGCGTTACTAAATCTACAATTAAATCGTTTTCATTTGAATGCCTAGCATTTGTTCCATATAACATTTCAGCTACAGCATCCCAGTATATAAATCAGACCTAAAACTACTTACCATTGGATCGAGACCGCGAATGAGAGAGGGACAGCCGCCCAGGAGGGGATCTGTTACGATAGCGTCCTCTGTGATTGTAGCGTGGTGACCTAGACCGAGAACGCGAGTTCCCCATGCTCCGGGTCCTAACCACAGGACCAGTCGTACCAGGTGGAGAATTAGACCTAGACCAGCTCCTCCTAGTGTTTCGAAAAGAACAAAATACTGAATCTGACAGTAAACTCTGAAAAAACTAATCTCAAAGTACTTTTAAAAGAACAAATTTTTAGTTCAATTGGTGAACAGTTACTAACCATCAGATTGGATATGATGAGACAATACGTTGCCACTCCACATTAGTGCAATAAGAATTAGAATATTGTGCAGGATTCAGAAGACAACTTATACCAATTCACTGAATTCTTTGCAACCCTACAATTGTTTGTGCCATGCGCAGCATTGCTTAAAAAGTGGTGGAAGTTAGTGCAAAGCGTGTTTCTCTCAGCATGAAAGAAATTGGTGGTGCTCTGGATGAAGATACTGACATGGAGGTACTTGTAGACAACAGTCATGATGACTGCAATGACAATGATGATAATACATACATTTTTTTAAATTTCACATACCCCTAAGATGTCTTCGCGTACCCCCGGGGGTACGCGTACCCCAGGTTGAACACTACTGATATAGATAACTGGTACACCAGCCCCAAAACTTCTACGCTCGCTCTGCACCAGAAATAGTGATACTGCTGGCACAATGAGGACCAATAGAAAAGAATTCCCATAATGTGTAAAATGAGCTGGGCTTCAGACAGGTGACTTAGTGAAGGCATTCTTGGAGAAGCAAATGACCCTCAAATGGAAGGATAAATAAATGTGATCATTAAAGGGTTCCATTCATCATGGGGCACTTCAATGAAGGGTGTGGTACAAAAGCCTGTTGCTATACTTGATTATGACATGAAAATTGGGGGGAGGGGGAGTTGTGTTGTTGACAGGAATGACTCCCAACTCCAAAGTTAGAAAATGACACACGCAAGGCTTCATAAATATTACAAAAAGATACTTAGATATATGCTTTATGCTGTATGCCTAAATGCACATACAATACATACGAAAAAATGAGGAAAAATGTCTAGTCTGGATTTCCAACTGACTATGGATGAAAAGTTGGTAGTGCACAGATGGCAACAGAACCAACAGCAAAGGTGGCAGCCATCAAAAACCCATAATCCCCCCCCAGATTTATGGAAATTATGCTTTCCACAGTTTGTTACAAAAACAAAAAAATCACTCAAGAAGATGTGTCATCTGCTGGTCACAGAAGAGGTGCCCCAATTGCAAGAAGGCTCTTTGTGTCTTGCAGTGCTTCCAGGTCTACACACACCAAGGAATTTCAAATTTACTGAAAAGCATTTGGTCTTGTAAGTTTGTAAACAATTATATGTTTCAAAAGCTTTCAGTGTACAATTCTTGTAGCATAAAATGTATGAGAAAATACCCTGGGCAGGTTATATCTCAGGCATTTAAAGTCCTCAGTGAAAGGGTTCAAATACTGCTGATGGGTAACAAGTGTGGTATTCTCAAAGCCTTAATACTCCTGAAAACATTAATACCATGAGCTGTCAAAGCACGAAGCCATTTCCTTCCATCTCATGCAGAATTTGAGAATGAAAGGAATTTTACATCCACACCCCATTATATACTTTACTGCATGGTACTTGAATCACAATAAACTTTATCTTCCCATTTTATCTCGCAGTATAGCACCTATCCCTCTGTCAAAGTGAGAAGAAAATAGATTAACAACAGAACAATGCCATCACATCCACTCCCAATATTTCTGATAATGCAGTTCATGTTTCTTACCTTCGATCCCTTTCGTATCTTCTGGGTGGAGGGGATTTGTTTCGCCACGCCCTACTCCTGTCCCTCTCTCTGACTCTCTCTCGATCTCTCTCGCGATCCCTGTCCCGACTACGTGACCTTCTTGTGCGATCCCAAGAACGGGACCGAGATCGGCCTCTTGAAGGAGACCTAGAGTTACGATGTCGATTTCGTCCTCCAATGCGACCTTTATCATCTTTGTCCTAAATAACAAGTATTAAACAACTTTTACATTAAGCTCTTATCAATTCAACAGACATGCAGGTAAATTACATGTCTTTAATTGACGTGGAAGAAATGTGAAAACTGCTCAAAGAAGAAGCACTGCAGTTATAAATTGAAGATTAAAGAAGCCTGGAAAACAAAATAAATCTCCAGTACAAAGAAGAGTAATTAGAGTCCACGACTGTAATCTTGAGACTTGCGGGTTAGGAGATGGGGTGAAGGAGAAAGAAGGTAAGATAGCGTCTGCATTTAATGCTATGGACTTACTGCATTCCTTGCAAGTCTCAAGATTACAGTCATGGACTGTAATGTACATCATCTTGCTTCTGTTTGTGAGGAATGTCATCCACCGTTCTAGACATGACAAATCAGCTGAACTGAAGACTGTAAGTAAAGTAAAGTAAAGTTTGTCCCACTACACGCCATGTAGGCGTTTGGGGTGAGAGGAGGTATAGCTCCTCTCTTCCTTGACCTCGGCACTAGATGGGGGTGAGTGGTCAGCATCACGCCCCGGCCGGCTTTACCCCCGGGTAAGGACCCCGGTACCCATTGTAGAGGAGGCTGGGTGGGCCCCAGAGCCGGTCTGGACGCAGAGGCTAGAGGAAAAATCCTCTGCCCCCGTCGGGGATCGAACCCCAGTCGTCCAGCCCTTAGCTAGTCACTATACTGACTGAGCTATCCCGACTGTAGAAAAGAATAAAACAGCTGCTTAAAAACTGGGGATGAAAAATTCTTGAGATGCATATTCTAAGCTTATAGGGAGCAGCACTTAGCCATTTTCCACTCCTCTCTTTCAGTGACTGCTTAGTGAACTCAAGTACAATGGTTATTCATGACCTTCAACACGATAATAAAATCATTAAAAATTAAAACTGCAACTTCAAGTAACTTTTTCAAGCAACATTATTTCACACTAGAGGTTTAGCGCTAAAGTTTTCTGGAGACTTGTATTATATGCTTACAATATGAATAACCAACACATTACACTGACTACATAGAATCATTAATAAATCAGAGAAAAGATCTAAGGTGGATGACTCCTACATTTTAAAATTCTTATCTAGACCCCCCCTCCCCAATACTATTCTTGATTCTACTGTAAGCAAAAAGTTCCCGTCTATCATGTACTATACAAATACAAAGTTCTGGCAGAATTTCACTTGCATAGATTACCTCATGGGATATATGATCAACTTTTAAAGCCTGGTGAGAACTATATGTACTACCTGCTTTATAACTGTGCATTTTTTATTTATGGGTCGTTAATGATTGCCGAATGGATTAATGAGTGATATCACCGAAGGCCAGGTTGAAGGAAAGAGAGGACTAGGAAGAAGGTTGATACAGCTAACCGACGACCTTAAACAAGGAAAGAAGATGACGTTCCAGGAATTAAAGCGAGAAGCCGAGAATAGGGACAACTGGAGAGCTCTTTTTGGGCAGAGCAATGGACCTGTCGTAAGACAGAACACTTAATAATAAATGATTGCCATTGTAAACAGTGACAATTTCTATAGATAGCATGAATAAACTGATTCATGTAATGGTAATGTGTTATTTTTTTTGTGGTGTAGATTGAATTCTTTAATATTATTTAGACAAGCAATAACTTGAAAGGGTTTAATAAATTAAAAGAAAACACATTAGAGTCCTGATTTGAATATCGCTGTCTTCTGGGCTGCTGTGTGGCGTAGTCTGGTAGAAGTTTAATGATGTTACTTAACTTCTATCAGACTATATGGCGCAGAAACTCAGAAAACAGCCATCTTCATACTTGGCGCTGTAAGGACCTCAAATCTCACTTAGTCGTAATGTACATAAGTTTCTTTAGACCTGAAAAATCCTCCTAAACACTGAATCTACATGAAATTTCCTTACCAAATCAGATTTTCTGTGTGTACTACGTGCCTGCAAATCCAAATCACGCTTATGCAATGGCAAAGATATAGACCCATTGGTTTGCACAGAGTTCACCAATGAAGTCACGCCTGCCACCACCTGCAATAAAATAATTTCATTAACTGCAGGATATTTAATAAATTAGTGCTAATAATTGTTATACTTAAGGGATAACAGTCAACATCCATACAAACATTTATTTTGATGAAGTTTCTGCAGCTAAAGATTCCAGTTTTCTGTCAGAAGATGAATTTATTTCACACTTTTATGAGTACAACTGATCATTTCCTGAATTAACGCCTAACGCTCCACAGATTATCTGGGAACAAATATTTGCTTTTATATCACAACACACTGTTTTGTGCTCTACTTTCCACTGACATCACACTCATTATTCACTTATTTCTCACTTCAAGAATCAGCCTTAAGTGGCAATGAATTCACACCTCTACCTCCTGCCACATCACTGCAGCTACCTATGAGACTCTTGGGTCAAGGTGGGGGTAATATGTTCTCTAGGGCAACATTACTGCTACCATATGTGACAATATTTATGATTGTGTGCTTACTATTTTTGATTTTCCTTTAATTCTTGACGGGCGATTTACAAATAGAATAAACACGTACACAGTGCAAAATTATCCATGTGACTAAACACTGCGCCATAAAGATATCACAGAATGGAGTTTGCAATGCTGTAATGCTTAAAGCCGCCATTCACGATCGCTCCATTCGTCCAAATGGCGCGGTGTCGCTCCAAAATTGTACCGTGAATGCGGAAACTGAAGTCCATTGGCGTGGCGTGGTGGGCTCGTTTGGATATTCTGTCGAGAAATTCCAAAAAATGTCGAAATTTGTCGTTTTGGACGATATCTGACGCTCCAAATCGGTTCGTGAGTGGCGGAAGCATGGTCCATTCTCATGCCAGTCTGCCACGAGCCTTCGTCCAGTGAAGTCCAAACTTGTATAATGTCGGGTCGTGAGTTTGTTATTGAGGTGATTGAGAAATATAGAGAGTTGCCATGTTTGTGGCAGATAAGTAATGAAGACTATCATGATAAAGCTAAAAGAAGCTTAGCAATGGAAGAATTGGTGGTTTTATTTAAAACCAAAGATCCTACCGCCAACAAAGAAAATTCCCTTAGAAGTTGCTTCAGAAAGGAGCATAAGG